ATACACACACACACACATATATATATATATATATATATATATATATATATATATATATATATGAATTAAAAGATCAAATGCAGGTCAAATATGGATCGGAAACCGTATGTGTGTGTTAAGACAAAACTTAATAATACTAACTACGAACACGGATACAATGTGCTGACTGTGTTCGGAAAATAAAACATCCCTATACCACTAAAAACATACACAAATCGCACATACTCAATAAAACTGTAAAAAAAAACAACATTTAAATCATCCTTGATAATGGCTAAAAGTATATCCGAAAGCGTTGGGAATTATAGAACATTTGGATAGTTCCTATACAGTCTGTGTTCAATAAAGCAAACACTTATTCGAACACAAGAAAAATTAAATAAAAAGCTTAATTGTAGTACCTTTTCCATTGTTTTTAATGAAATATATATATATATATATATGTGTGTGTGTGTGTGTGTGTGTGTGTGTGTGTGTGTGTGTGTGTGTGTGTGTGTGTGTGTTGTGTATCATTGCACATATACCTTCGGGTATAACAAAACAAATGGAAATGAATATTCACAAGAATACATAGATTTTGATAGGATATATAAAAGTTTGCCAGGATCATCTTTTTTTTTTTTTTTTTGTACGCGTTCATCAGCTCCAGACTTATATATATATATATATATATACCGATGTATATATATATAAATATATATACGTATATATATATACGTATGTATATATACGTATGTATATATATAACCCGAAAAGTCGATAGCATATGAGAGAGAATTTCGAGCTACCTGTTGACTGTCAGGAAAACTCAGGCAAACGCTGGAGCCAGCACCGCCAATACACACCGGCGACTACTTCAGTAAATCCCGGTTTACACGGACGAAACAAAATATGTTATACAAGTTTGTGCAAATATATTTAAACTGCTTGTTCGGCTGGTCTTACTACTGACTACAAAAGACAGAAATATGTTTGTAAATATTTGGAAAACCGGCTTGACTGTGTTAGAAATAAAACGAAACCTCAATAAGATCGTTAAAAAGTATTAACAATTCTTGAATATGCGTTTATATTCATAATAAAAATAATAATAATAATTTTACTCACCGTTTTGCGGCTTAAAAGTAAGAAGCGGTTTTCAGGCGTGGTATTTGACTTGATAGAATGGCAAATAGAAAGAAAGAAGAAGGTAGCGGGTTTAAGAAATATTGCTTGTTGCGACTACCATAGAAATCTAAATCGTCACCATCACCGTCAGTGGCCAGTGAAAAGGAATGTATTTTCTTGTGAGCGACAAATCTAATTGTACCGTTGTGTGGAGCGTTTTTAAGGATACGGAATATTTAAGTGGAAGAATCCGTTAATTTCAGTCCCGGAGAAAGGAAAAGAAAGAAAAAAAGGAAGCCGGTCCAATTTGACAGAGAAAACAAAAAAACAAAAAAAAAACTAAAGAGTGGGAGGGATTCTGTTGGAATAATATTGTGGATTTGGAATTAATAAATCATAATGGATTAAGCAAAGAAAAGAGAGAGAAATGATAGTGATAGTGTAAGAAAAAATAAAAGGTGTGAGTGTATAACAGGGCGGGAGAGGAGGAAAAAAAGGTAGAAAGTAAGGCTAATAGAGAGAGAGTAGCGAAAGAGAGAAAAAGAGAGAGAGAGTAGGGCGAGGGCGATGGAGATGATATTGAAAAAAGAAAGAAAGAAAGAAAGAAAGAAAAAAAAAAAGAAAATAAATGGGAAGAGAAAGAAACGGGAAATTAATTGTTGAAAGAAAGAAAAGGGTTGTAAATGGAGTGAAGAAAGAAAAAATAAAAAAAAAAAAGAAAGAATGAAAAGAAAGAAAGAAAAGAAAGAAAAGAAAGAAATAATTGATTTGAACTCTAGAAAGAAAGAAAAAAGAAAAAAGAAAAAAAGAAAAAAGCGAAGGGTTTGTAAAACGACTTGGAAAGAAAGAAAGAAAGAAAGAAAGAAAGAAAAAAGAAAGAAAAGAAAGAAAGAAAGAAATGACGGTTTGAACTCTAAAGAAAAGAATAAAAAGAAAGAAAAAAGAAAGAAAGAAAGAAAAGAACGATTTGAACTCTAGAAAGAAAAAAAAAAGAAAGAAAGAAAAAAAAAGAAAGAAAAGAAAGAAAGAAAAAGAACGATTTGAACTCTAGAAAGAAAAAAGAAAGAAAGAAAGAAAGAAAAGAAAGAAAGAAAGAAAGAAAAGAAAAGAAAAGAAAGAAAGAAATGACGATTTGGACTCTAAAAGAAAGAAAGAAAGAAAGAAAAAAAAGAAAGAAAGAACGACTTGGCTCTTTAAAAAGAAAGAAATGAAAGAAAAAAAAAGAAAAAGAAATGACGACTTGGACTCTAGAAAGAAAGAAATAAAAAAAGAAAAAAAAAAAGAAAAGAAAGAAAGAAAGAAAGAAAAATTAAACTCTAGAAAGAAATGACGACTTGGAGAAAGAAAAGAAATAAGAAAGAAATTTGAAAGAAAAGAAATTTAAAAGAAAGAAAGAAAGAAAGAAAGAAAGAAAGAAAGAAAGAAAGAAATAACGATTTGAACTCTAGAAAGAAAGAAAGAAAGAAAGAAAGAAAGAAAGAAAGAAAGAAAGAAAGAAAGAAAGAAAGAAACGATTTGAACTCTAGAAAGAAAGAAAGAAAGAAAGAAAGAAAGAAAGAAAGAAAGAAAGAAAAAGAAAAGAAATAACGATTTGAACTCTAGAAAGAAAGAAAGAAAGAAAGAAAAAAAAAAGAAAGAAAAAGAAAGAACTCTAGAAAGAAAGAAAGAAAGAAAGAAAGAAAGAAAGAAAGAAAGAAAAAAATAAAGAAAGAAAGAAAGAAAGAACTCTAAAATAAATGAAGAGGATAAAGAGACAGAGAGAAAGAGAAGAGAAAGAGCTTCCCAAATTTTACAGATAAAGGCGAAAGAGGAAAAGAAAAGTTTTCTAATTACACTGTGATAATATTGCAAGCATTAATGTAAACAGTGGGAACATCAGAAAGACAAAGAGATAGAAAGAGAGAGTGAGAGAGAGAGAGAGAGAGAGGGGAGAGAGTGGTGGAAGAGGATCAGATTAAGAGATTGAGAAAGAATATCAAAGAAAGAGAGGAGGACAAGTAACGAACAAAGAGAGGAGAATACAAAACGAAGAAAGACTGCTGTAACAGAGTCAAAAGGTGTTACACGGTAATTTGCTTTCAAAAATAAAATTAAAAAAATGTATTGTAATGCAGACGAGAATTGAAGCCATGGAATAAAATGAATGGAGATGGAAAAAAGCGGGAAAAAATGAAAGCAGTGACGGTGACTCTCGGCGACGATTTGATTTGAAGAAAAAATATAGGATATCTTAATATGTTTAAGAATGGCAATGAAAAAGAAGCCAAAGAAGAAAACGCAGTTTTCACTTCGATATTTACGAATGGAAATTAATACTACTACTTCTAATACTACTACTAACAACAACAAAAAACGACGACACCACCACTGTCCTGGGTATGACGATAAACTACATCCGGGCCTCTGATGAGGAAATTGGAAGTTCTGAGAAGAGTGGAACCCCTCTTCACTGCTTTTGTTCCCAGGTCCACCCTGACCAGTGAACACCACGAACAAAAACAAATAGCAATTATTGTCTGAGAAAGTAAATTCGGCAAACTGAGTTCAATTACCGGCTGATGCTTCTGCGATCACTTTCGCACAAATATCCTTATAAAAGGCATGAGTCCATTTCCTTTTCTGCCAGTTATGTGTTCAATAGCAGGTAGACTGTTCTTTATTCTTGTGTAGCGACCAGCATCGGAGAACAACTTTGAATTTAAAACAGTAGTGACGAGATTAGAAAATTACTATTTTCCAAGAAGTCATGCTAATAAGTAAATGAAGGGAGATTACCTACGCCTTGAACTCAGATAACATCTAATTTTTTTTTTCTAAAATCTCAGACGTAAATATATATCATAAATATTCCATAGACGAAGCGAGTAAGCAACAAGGAAGTCTTAAGGAAAATGGTCAGAGAAAGAACATTTCTAGCCAGAACCAAGCAAAAACATTGGACTAGCGAAAGAAGCATTCTAAAAGTTAAGCAACGTGCTGAAAAATGGGTAACTTTAGAAACAAAGAAAAGAAATGGATTTTTATGTGATATCACTGATGTGTCAGGCGTGATACACACTTAGGCGATCATGTATCTTTCATGATTAACGAGGCAGATGTTTTCCCGCAGTAGGTTGCCATTATTTTCTCCGGTAGACCGGTTACCATCCAAGGCTATAGAACCCGGTCCGTCTTGCTATTTACCCATAGCTGGAAGAAGAAGAGGATTCATACCTTCACCCAATGCAGACGAGTATTGGATTCGACCGGAATTCGAACTCGGCTCTCCGAGTTCTCAATCCAAGCCGCTATCCATTACTCCACCGTGCCTCCTATGCGATATTCGTTCTCTTATATGGCAGTGAATGTTGGACAATCTCCCCATGGATGAGGAAAAAACTGGAGGCAGCAGAAATTTGGTTCTACAGAAAATTCTATGAACAAGGTGAGTAGGCAAGAAGTCTTAAAGAAAATGGCCACAGAATGAACATTTCTAGTCAGAACCAGGAATAAAAAAAACTGTTGAAATTTCTTGTATACGTAAGGAGGAAATGAAAACCAAGAGTTTAATCCACTCACTGTATACCAATGTTAAGACAGAGAAAGAATGGCAGCGAGAGTCTTACCTGACGAGCTTATGTGAAAGAATAGTCTTAGAGCGGGAGCCTTAGGTAAAAAAAAACCCTCCTGGTTATGACGATAAACTACATGTACGTCCAACAGCATGGCGTCTGATCAAGAGGTTTTGAGGAGCGTGGAACCACTTCTTAATCGCTGACGTTCCCAGGTCCACCCTGACCCGGGATAGTGATTTTCCAAGTGTAGCTTGGATGTGGCACAAGACCGAAATTAAGGAGCACCCAGTGAGGATTGAACTCACTACTCAGTTGTAATTGTTCTAGCGAGACAAGCTTGCTAACCATTACACCACTTCCAGATGCCCAAACCCTGACCCGGGGTAGTAGCACTTGTTAGGGTCCCAGCAATAGTTAACACCCAAACTTGTGTAAAAATAGGTTTTAATAACAGAAATACTTTGTAATAAAAATTTAGATTGTACTAAAAAAATATGAGTAATTGAAAAATAGTTGAAATATATAGATGTTTACATACACACCTTTTTTTTTAGCAAACTATCGTTATGAATCTATTTAAAAAATTTTGTTGTTATTAAATAACCCACTTGAGGTTGATATGCCATAAAACAAAACAACAACCAACCTTAGCAAAAGCGGGAAAAAAAACCCTAAGAGCCACAAAGGATAGAAAGGTTTGGAGTGCTATGATCACCTATGCCCTGAAGGGACGTGACACACAGACGACGACGACGACGACGAAGAAGAAGAAATATTGTTATACATAATTTAAATTGTTAAGTTATTTTTTTTTATTGATATTCGTTCGCATTGTAAGCCCTTTTTTTTTTCATATTTAGTTTATAATATAAATGAAAAATTGTATTTTTAAAAAAAGCATAGAAAGAAGAGGAATTAAAACGAAAGAATGTGCCATAGAAAAAATACCTTTTGCCAGAAAAATAGATGAATTACAATCATTGGTCTAATATAGACAAACCTCAACCCTCGTAGGCCATCGTACGGACTAAATAGAGTTGAAAATATGTTACTGATAATCTTCCTTCAAATAAGGAAATCTCGTCACCGTCAGCGAAGGATTAAGATAATAATCCCCTTCAACCGACTAATGACCAAAGGAATAAACGTAATAAAGATTAAAATGGATTATAGGTTGACCATCATTAATCTGGCATCATTCGGACATGTAGTATGGCGGTAAAAGTAGTCCTGGGTATGACGATAAACTACATCAGACAGCAGGGCCTCTAATTGAAGGATTGGGTGTTTTGAGGAGCGTGGAACCACTGTTTAATTGCTGTTGTTCTCAGATCCACCCTGACCCGGGGTGGTAGCCCCTGTTAGGGGTCCTAACAATGAGCAAATAGTGAACACCTAAACAAAACTCAAAACATTAGGAAAGTATAAAAATACATTTTTTATAAAAAAATACCAACAATATATTTTTATAGTAAAATTATCAAAATATATTTTTATAGTAAAAGTATCAACAATAAATTTTTATAGTAAAATGACCAACAATACATTTTATAGTAAAATTATAAATAATTTTTTATAGTAATATTATCAACAATACATTTTTTATAGTAAAATGACTAACAATACATTTTAAAGCAAAATTATCAATACATTTTTATAGTAATATTATCAACAACACATTTTATAGTAAAATTATCAACAATATATTTCCATAGTAAAATTATCAATACATTTTTATAGTAAAATTATTAACACCTTTTAATAGTAAAATTATCAACAATTCGTTGTTATGGCAAAATTATCAATACATTTTTATAGTAAAATTATCAACAATACATTTTTATAGCAAAATTATCAACGATATATTTTTATAGTAAAATTATCAACAATGCATTTTTGTCGTAAAATTACCAGGAATATATTTTTATTAAAAAATTACTTTACCAAAAATGCATTTTATCTACAAACCATATATCTAAAAAAAAATACGTTTATCCTGAAAGTACAAAATATTTAGTTTTCGGCATTAAATAACCCATAGTGATGTTGATATGTCGCTAAACAAACCAACTAGTATAGTAGTAAAATAAACTATATTATGACCATCACTAATCCGGAAATAACTGTGTTAGAAGATAGGTAAATTAATTTCATAACAATTATCACTAATCCGGTATAATATGCCGGTAATATGGTCTACATCAATGACCATCGGTATTCCGACACTGCCATGGATAGTGAAAGTGGGTAAAATTGACTAAAGTTTGATTATCATTACTCTGGCACTGTTACAACATGTAGTATATCGGTAAAATGCGCTCTGTGTTGACCATCGTTAATACGGCAGTCATCTGTACAAAATATGCCGGTAAAATGGACTACGTTTATAACCATCACTAACCCGGCATAAAGTAGTATGCCGGTGAAATGGACTACATTTATGACCATAACTAATCCGGCATAAAGTAGTATGCCGGTAAAATGGACTACATTTATGACCATCACTAACCCGGCATAAAGTAGTATGCCGGTAAAATGGACTACATCCATGACCATCACTAAACCGGCATAAAGTAGTATGCCAGTGAAATGGACTTTATTTTACCATCATTAATCCGGTACCGTTGGGAAATGTAGCATACCGGTAAAATGGAGGGTATATTAACTGACATTAGTGGGCAATTGGTATGTCGGATTACAGATGCAAGAAAATGCCCCCCCCCTTGTTTCTTTATCCCACAAACTGTAGACGAGCTAATCCTGTATAAACCGCACATATACGTTCTATCTTATCCGAAATTTGATACCCACGGGACATATAGAAGGCAACGGGCTCTTTGATCTGGTCTAATCGTTAGCAAGCTTATTTCGCTAAATCAGTTACAACTCAGTAGGGAGTTTGATCCTCACTGGATACCCCCATACTTTTGGCCTTGTGCCACATCTAAGCTACACTTAGTAAATCACGATACAGAAGGCAAGTAGAACAGGTGAAAACAGCGCATAAATTACCTAACGATCTTCTGTAAATAGTTGGAAGACTAGGGATTACGAGAAATAGCAAAAAGGGAAACTTTATTAAGATTTAAAAAGACAGGAGGTTGTGGAGAGCCATGACCGCCCACGTCCAAAAAGGACATGGTGCGAAAAAAAAGAAGAACAAGCTTGTGTAAATGACTGGAAGAATAGGGATTAAGAAAACTATCGAAAAGAAAAAAAAACTTTACTAAGATGTACAAAGGGCAGGAAATAGTGGAAAGCCATAATCGTACATGTTCTGACAGGACATAGAAGAAGAAGAAGAAGAAGAAGAAGAAGAAGAAGAAGAAGAAGAAGAAGAAGAAGAAGAAGAAGGAGCTTGTGTAAATGGTTGGGAAATAGGGATGAGGAGAGCTAGCGAAAAGAAAAACTTTACTAAGAGCTACAAAGGGCAGGAAACTGTAGAGAGACATGATCACCCATATCCTGAAAGCCACTACATAACCATTACCGATGAATGGCTTGACCACCACATAACCATTACCGACGAATTGCTTAGCCACCACATAACCATTGCCGATGAATGGCTTGGCCAAAACATAACCATTACTGGCGAAATTGGCCATTGGCCATTAATGATGAATGGTTTAACAACATAACCATTACCTATGAATGGTTTGACAAACCACATAACCATTATGACGAATTTTTCACCACATAACCATTGCCGATGAATGGCTTGGCCAATACATAACCATTACTGGCGAATGGCTTGGCCATACATAACCATTACTGGCGAATGACTTGATCACCACATAACCATTACCGATGAATGACTTGGCCAACACATAACCATTACTGGCGAATGGCTTGGCCATACATAACCATTACAGATGAATGGCTTGACCACCACATAACCATTACCGATGAATGTCTTTGGCAACACTTAACCATTGGCGAATGGCGAATAACCATTACTGGCGAATGACCCATGACCATTAACCGATGAATGAATGGTTTACAACACATAACCATTACTGGCGAATGGCTTGGCCATACATAACCATTACTGGCGAATGATTTGACCACCACATAACCATTACCGATGAATGGCTTGGCCAACACATAACCATTACTGGCGAATGGCGTGGCAACGTCATAAAAATGATGATGGCCTAAGAGTGCTTGGTCAAAACGCTAATAACATCTATAAGAACAATCGTTCGAAATAATTAAAGTATTTCACTTTAGCAGTTAGAAAAGGTAAAAATTTATCTCTTTTCAACCCCTTAATCTTAAGGTTAGCAGGTCGACCTGAGCTCTCTAGCCTTGGATAGCGACAATAAAAAATAAAGCTCACAACCTCAGACACTAGTTGCAGCAGCCTGTCACTTCGTTAGTAATTGAATTTTGATCGGAATTTTTATCTGTTATTTCTATTTATTAATGGAGAAGTTTTGGATTAAGTGCATTGACAAAGTAGAAGATTATGCTAAAAATTGAGAAATTTACGAATATAAAATGGATTATGGTAACGAAAAAATCTGAAGACTGCCCCTGTTAAAAACACAAGACACAAGATTCCGAACTTCACCTCGTTTCATGAAAAAATACTTTTATCCTGAACGTACAAAATATTTAGGTTTCGGCATTTAATAACCCATATGGCTGTTAATAGGCCGCTAAACAAAAACAACCAAATGGTATAGCAGTAAAATAAACAACATTATGACTATCACTAATCTGGAAATATCAGTCTTGGTAAATAAACTTCATAAGAATCATCACTAATCCGGTATAAAATGCCGGTAAAATGGTCTACATCTATGATCAACGCTAGTCCGTCCTAGGAGGACTGATGCAGTCCGATGAGTCACGGTTACATTTATTAAGGGTTGTAGGCAGGTATGCAGACCCCATCAGGCCCTCGATCCCAGTTATCAACAAGGTATCTTTAAACCTGGTAGTGCTCCCTTAATAATGCCTAAATACCACTGACCACTACGTTACACTGCTTCGGAACCATTTACACCTTTTCATGAATTCCATATACTCCAAAATAAAGGTAACATATTTATCTATTAGTATATATAATGCACGAGGATGCACGGTGGAGTAATGGATAGTGGCTTGGATTGAGGAATCGGAGAGCCGAGTTCGAATTCCAGTCGAATCCATTACATTCACTTACGTGCTAACACCCTTGGGAAAGGTGTGAGTCCTCTTTCTTCTCCCTCCAGCTATGAGTAAATAGCGGGACAGATTGGGTTCTATAGCCTTGGATGACAACTGGTCTAGGAGAAGGAAAACTCTGAATTCAAAACCTGCGAAGGGTCGTTTGGGGACCTTGTGGCACGTAGTGCACCAGGTCTCTGTAATCGACCCAAGTATGGATGGTCCTGCACGAAAACCTTCACCATTTATAATCAAATCTCATGTGCTATACATGCGGGTTGGGGACCGCTTGTGAATTCCAAATTCCCATAAAAACTCCAATATTGGAGCCGGCTCAACCCACTTCGGGTAAATGCCGTTACAAAAACAAGAACAAGAGAAGATATATAATGACTGAAAATTTTGTTGGCATGCAAGATGATTGTACTTAAAATAGTGGTAAAGCTGAAATCTGTTAATATATCTATCGATTTATCTAACTATTTATCACAAAATATATCTCACTTTATTAGTTATTTCAGTTACTGAGTCCAAGTCCACATTGCCCAGCACAGGGATTGAACTCACAATTACAATGTTTTGTAATGCCCGTTTGTAAATCACAGATAAAATAATAAAGGGTGTTTCATTAAGACGGATTATATATAAGAGTGTTTCATTAAGATGGCTCAAAGTCGGCAGTAAATATATCAATATTATTAATGAAAATTTATTTATTTCTCTGTTGGATCATGTTATTTAAGTCATGTCAATTATGTGTGAAAAATAATATCGCCCAAATGTCAGCCAAATCTGAAAGAAAAAGAAAAAAATCATTAGACGCTTAAACTCAATTCACATTTAAAATCGGTCCAATTGGAACACTTTTTAGTAACGCCTTCAAACATTCCTCGCTCAGACGTCGCTAATTCCCATATATATTTTTTCTTTACACGCCAAGTGATCTAATTATTTCAAGATGAAGTCGACTGTGCTTGCTCTCTAGCGTTCCGTGTTCAAACCCAAGTGTCGGCAGTGATACTTTATTCTTATATGACACTATGTCTCCAAATTCGCGACGAAACAACGCTTTAATCCACTAGGCTATTGTCCCGTAGGAACGAGAACAGTCTATCTCCGTAGATTAAATAAAGTGTTCGGTTCAAAATTCCCTATAAGTTACCCAGGTCGATACACACCTGATGAAGACCGGAGGGCATTACGTCCGAAACGTTGTGATAACAATAACTAAAATGAGGACACTAGTCCGAAAATAAATAGTATAAATAATGATAATTCCACATCCAGGAAACTCAGACAGAATATATAAGTATAAGACGCACCCCAATTTCAGTAGGGAAAATGAAGAAAACATTACTAATTTGTAAAATTATTAGTAAATCGTACAGCCTAGGCTATTTTTATGACGTGTTATTTTGATTAAACAAGCCATGATTACAATTAAACGAAAGATCATAGGAAAAAAGAACACGAACCTATAAAAGCTTTATTATATCCAAAAGTAAGAAAACAAAATAAAAATCAAGCAATTACAGTGTAACCCGGATATAAGAGAGATTTTCTCTGGTCCCAAAGTGTTCCCATACTTACCTAAACAAAATAGACCAAACCCGGATATAAGAGAAAGCCGGATATAAGAGACTTCTTCTCCGGTCCCGACAACTCTCTTATATCCGGGTTACACTGTATTACAATTGAGCAAAACAGTACAGTTACCATTAAAATTTTATTTATCTTCAAATCCATAAAATTCGTCGTCTTCGTTATCAAAACTCTGATACTCATTTTCAATATTAATATCATCGTCGTTAAATAATGCGTCGCCTAACTTCGGCCGACAATCGTGAATTTTAAACCTACATATGGTATATAAAACGCAGGGAAATTTTAAAAGATAGTTTTTTTTTTTGTTTTTTTTTTAAAGTGCGCCTTATATGCCGTCAAATACGGTAATCCTTTAGTAAAAAAAAAAAAAAACAGCTTTCGATATGAAAATATGTAATACGTATATGGAAGTCGTATGTCATCATGGCCGAGAGTTTTATGGTACTAGCCTTGTTCAGATGGGTTACTCAATCCCCAAAACTGTAAGTAACGTTCGATTTACAGAACGCAGAAGCTTTTCTAGGTTGACTATGAGGGTTTGGCTTGGTTTGTTTGACGGCATATCAACACCTCAATGGGTTATTTAATGCGACAACTTTTTTTCCTGGTACTATTTTCTTTTGTCAAAAATCTATTTCTGATAATATTTTTTCCCTCGAAAATGTATAACTGGTAATATTATTTTCAGAAACGTATTGCTGGTAATTTATGTTTTCAAAAACGTATTCCTGGTAATATTTTTTTTTTTCAAAAACATATTGCTGGTAATTTATTTTTTCAAAAACGTATTCCTGGTAATATTTTTTTTTTTTTTTTCAAAAACATATTGCTGGTAATTTATTTTTTCAAAAACGTATTTCTGGTAATATTTTAACAGAAGAAAAAACATATTGCTGGTAATTTATTTTTCAAAAACGTATTTCTGGTAATATTTTTTGAAAAAAAAAACATATTGCTGGTAATTTATTTTTTCAAAAACGTATTCCTGGTAATATTTTTTTTTTTCAAAAACATATTGCTGGTAATTTTTTTTTTCAAAAACGTATTCCTGGTAATATTTTTTTTTTTTTTCAAAAACATATTGCTGGTAATTTTTTTTTTTCAAAAACGTATTCCTGGTAATATTTTTTTTAGAAAACATTGCTGGTAAATTTTTTTTCAAAAACATATTTCTGGTTTTCAAAACCGTATTCCTGGTATTTTTTTTTTTTTTTTTCTAAAACGTATTGCTGGTAATATTTTTTTTCGAAAACATATTGCTGGTAAATTTATTTTAGAGGCTATGACGGGGGGGGAAGTGTTTATTTTAGAGGCTGTTGTTTTTAGATTCACCGTGACCCGGTGTAGTAGCACCTGCTAGGGTCCCAGCTATGGGCAAATATTTAACCTCCAAATTGGGGTCGAAACACCATGAAAGTATAAAAATAGATTTTTCTAGTAAAATTATCAGCATTAACTTTTTCAACAAAAATATTACCAGCAATACATTTACATTTACTAGAATACAGGGCGAGATTTTATGATCATAAAAATAGGGGATCACACTCTACGCGGGTAATTACGCTTGGAAAATCACTATACTATAAACAGGACCGTTATGATGATTGACTGGTTTGCTTCTGTTTATTTTGTTTTACGCCATGTCAACCTCAATTTAATGCCGACAAGATTTTTAGGTTCGTACGAATAGAATATATATTCTTTGAAAAGAAACCAGTTTGTAGGCAATCAGATTTTATTGAGGTATTTTTTTGTAAAGAGGGTTTGTGTTCAGAGTCAAACAAATTCTTGCAATATTTTTTAAATGTATTGCTGGTAATATTTTTTTCAAAAATGTAATGCTGATATTTTTACTACAAAAAAATCTATTTTTATACTTTCTGTTGTAGCATACTTACGGACGATAATATGTATGTCCTCATTCACATAAATACACTAGTAAATACTATATGTTAGTCTCCAGTTGTGCTGATCAAACTCTCTGCCTCCGGGCAGAGAGGATCCCTAAACGAGGTTATGTCGAAGGACAGATTCTCGTCTCGAAAAAACAACCGAACCTGACCCCGTTTTTATACGGGGTCTACGGGAACCCCTGGCCGAACGTACCCTGTGCCACATCTGACCACGTGGGGTGGTTGGTGGATATCCTGCAACTGGAGATTCGTCTCCAGCTGAAAAAAGAACCCAACTCTCTGCCTCCGAGCAGAGAGGATAATTCAGACGAGGCTATGCTGGAGGATAGTGTTTCGTCTCGGGAAACAGCTACCCGACCTCGTTTTATACGGGGTTTACGGGGACTTTTTGGCCGAACCTACGGGCTCGGATACGACGCATTAAATTCGGCACCTAAGCCACATCTGACCACGTGGGGCGGTTGGTGGATATCCTGCAACTGGAGATTCGTCTCCAGCTGTTAGAATCCAACTCTCTGCCTCCGAGCAGAGAGGATCACCAGACGAGGCTATGCTGGAGGATAGTGTTTCGTCTCGGGAAACAGCTACCCGACCTCGTTTTATACGGGGTTTACGGGGACTTTTTGGCCGAACCTACGGGCTCGGATACTACGCATTAAATTCGGCACCTAAGCCACATCTGACCACGTGGGGCGGTTGGTGGATATCCTGCAACTGGAGATTCGTCTCCAGCTGTGCTGGTCAAACTCTCTGCCTGGAGACAGAGAGGATCCTAAACGAGGTTATGTCGAAGGACAGATTCTCGTCTCAAAAAACAGCTACCTGACCCCGTTTTATACGGGGTTTTATCTACGGGAAATTTCTGGCCGAACGTACCCTGTGCCACATCTGACCACGTGGGGTGGTTGGTGGATATCCTGCGGTTGGAGATTCGTCTCCAGCTGTGCTCTCAACTCTCTGCCTCCGAGCAGAGAGGATCCCCAGACGAGGCTATGCTGGAGGATAGGGTTTCGTCTCGGGAAACAGCTACCCGACCTCGTTTTATACGGAGTTTACGGGGACTTTTTGGCCGAACCTACGGGCTCGGATACGACGCATTAAATTCGGCACCTAAGCCACATCTGACCACGTGGGGCGGTTGGTGGATATCCTGCAACTGGAGATTCGTCTCCAGCTGTGCTGGCCCAACTCTCTGCCTCCGAGCAGAGAGGATCACCAGACGAGGCTATGCTGGAGGATAGTGTTTCGTCTCGGGAAACAGCTACCCGACCTCGTTTTATACGGGGTTTACGGGGACTTTTTGGCCGAACCTACGGGCTCGGATACTACGCATTAAATTCGGCACCTAAGCCACATCTGACCACGTGGGGCGGTTGGTGGATATCCTGCAACTGGAGATTCGTCTCCAGCTGTGCTGGTCAAACTCTCTGCCTGGAGACAGAGAGGATCCCTAAACGAGGTTATGTCGAAGGACAGATTCTCGTCTCGGGAAACAGCTACCTGACCCCGTTTTATACGGGGTCTACGGGGAATTTCTGGCCGAACGTACCCTGTGCCACATCTGACCACGTGGGGTGGTTGGTGGATATCCTGCAACTGGAGATTCGTCTCCAGCTGTGCTGGCCCAACTCTCTGCCTCCGAGCAGAGAGGATCCCCAGACGAGGCTATGCTGGAGGATAGGGTTTCGTCTCGGGAAACAGCTACCCGACCTCGTTTTATACGGAGTTTACGGGGACTTTTTGGCCGAACCTACGGGCTCGGATACGACGCATTAAATTCGGCACCTAAGCCACATCTGACCACGTGGGGCGGTTGGTGGATATCCTGCAACTGGAGATTCGTCTCCAGCTGTGATGAAATAAATTTCTCTCTGCCTCCGAGCAGAAAGGATCACCAGACGAGGCTATGTTGAGGATAGTGTTTTCGTCTCGGGAAACAGCTACCCGACCTCGTTTTATACGGGGTTTACGGGGATTTTGGCCGAAAATTACGGGCTCGGATACGACGCATTAAATTCGGCACCTAAGCCACATCTGACCACTGGGGCGTTTGGATATCCTGCAATCTTGGAGATTCGTCAGCGTTTGTTTTTTGGCCCAACTCTCTGCCTCCGAGCAGAGAGGATCACCAGACGAGGCTATGCTGGAGACCCTTTTTTCGCCTCGGGGAAACAGCTACCCGACCTCGTTTTATACGGGGTTTTCTACGCCGAACCTAAGGGTTCGGATACTATTCTTTCGGCACCTCTCCACATCTGACCACGTGGGGCGGTTGGTGGATATCCTGCAACTGGAGATTCGTCTCCAGCTGTGCTGGCCCAACTCTCTGCCTCCGAGCAGAGAGGATCACCAGACGAGGCTATGTTGGAGGATAGTGTTTCGTCTCGGGAAACAGCTACCCGACCTCGTTTTATACGGGGTTTACGGGGACTTTTTGGCCGAACCTACGGGCTCGGATACTACGCATTAAATTCGGCACCTAAGCCACATCTGACCACGTGGGGCGGTTGGTGGATATCCTGCAACTGGAGATTCGTCTCCAGCTGTGCTGGTCAAACTCTCTGCCTGGAGACAGAGAGGATCCCTTGACGAGGTTATGTCGAAGGACAGATTCTCGTCTCGGGAAACAGCTACCAGACCCCGTTTTATATGTGGAATTTCTGGCCGAGCGTACCTTGTGCCACATCTGACCGAGTGGAGCGGTTGGTACATATCCTGCAGTTGGAGATTCATTGTGGAATTCACTTGACTCACTTCTAGCAGTTTACTATTCCTTCTACGCGCCGCTGGCGAATCTTATATGTGTTGTTCTTGACCTAAGTATTATCGTTGATTACCAACCTTCGTTTGATTATTCTATTCAGTAGCCTTCCCTAGGTTACAACATATATTATGGTAGATATTTATTCAATGATATATCTGTTTCACAACTGAGAAAGTTCACTATCTTTCAGTATGTCGTGGAGTTCTGAAGCAGGTACAAGTCAAGATTTGAAATCAAAGACTCGTTCCTTTGGAAGATGACAGCTACATATTCTTCCTAAGCCTATTTTCTTTTATAAGAAGCATTCCAGAAGCTAAGCAAAGTATTAAGAAACAGGAAAGTTTAATTAAACACAAAAAAAAGAGTACAGAACTGTTACATAATATCAGCCCCCCCCCACTTCCATATAGGAGGACTGAGATTACGTAACAGTGAATGGTGGACAATCTCCTCCCCGATGAAGAAGAGACTTGAAGTAACAAAAATGTCGTTCTACAGAAGAATGCTGAGGATACCATGAACCGAACATTGGAGCAACGATGATGTTTTAGAGACAATGGAAACAAAAGAGACAGTTGGAAATGTGATTTGGAAAAAATTGATACACGCAGGGCAGATCGAATGTATGAAGGACAGAAGAAAGCACATAAACTTATAAGATGCATTTCAGAAGCTAAGCAAAGTATTAAGAAACATAAAAATTTCATTAGGAGCAACGAAAAGAGTACAGAAATGTTACGGAATATCAGTCATCCTATATGACAGTAGATGTTGGACAATCTCCTCAAAGATGAAGAACAGACTTCAACTAACAAAAATGTGGTTCTACAGAAGGATGCTGAGAATACGATGGACTGGATATGTGAGCAGCAATAGAAACAAAATGATTTACCTTCAGAAAGGGACAGGTGAAATTTCGAGTGCATATAATGAGAAAAGAAGGCTTAAAAATTGACACACACAGGAAAAGATGGACGGAGAAAATCAGCGCATCAATTACCGACATGTTTGTGTAAATGGTTCTATAGAAGTATGTTGGGGATACTATGGATTTTATATGTGAGCAACGATGGGAACAAGAAGGAAACTTATGCTTAACATCAAGAAGAAATAGCTGAAATTTCTAGGTCACATAATGAGGAAAGAGGGCATGGAAAATCTCACACTCACAGGACAACGCATAACCTACCTAACGAGTTTGAGTAAATGAATTGCGGATCATGATTTAGGAGAATAACAAAAAAAAATTTACTAAGGGCTACAAAAGACAAGAAATTGGGGAGAGCCATGACCGCTTAAGACCGGAAGTGACACGACATATAGAAGAGGGCAGCATGCCAACGACTTGTAAGTTTTATTTAGAAGTGTGTTAAACAGCAAAGATGCAATAAAATTGCTCGAAGTTAATATTATTTGATTGTCTCGTGAAGACTTAATCTGAATTTCGTCCATTTGACAGTTTCTGTTGAAAATTAAGTACGTTTCCCGCCAAAGGTGGGCGGTTAAATTTGTGCCGCGAAGTGATGAGGGTTTCTTTTCTGCATATTAAATGCCATTCTGGAATCATTTTATTTCTTCTTCTTTTCCTTCTTTTGTTTCTTCTTTTTCTTCTTATGTTTCTTCTTCTTCTTCTTCTTCTTTCCTCATCTTCTGTTTCCCCTTTTTCTTCTGTTTTTCTTTTTCTTCTGTTACTTTTGTTTCTTTGTCTTCTGCTTCTTCTTCTGTTTCTCCTTTTTCTTTTTATGTTTCTTCTTCTTCTTCTTCTGTTCCTTCGTCTTCTCCTTACGTTTTTCTGTTTTCCTCCTCCTCCTCCTTCTTCTTCTTCTGTTTCTCCTTTTTCTTCTTATGTTTCTTCTTCTTCATCTTCTTCTGTTTCTGTTCTTTTCTTCTTCTCCTTCTTTTTTTTCTTCTTCTTCTTCCTCCTCCTTCTTCTTCTGTTTCTCCTTTTTTCTTCTTATTTTCTTCTTCTTCTTCTTCTGTTCATCTTCTTCTTCTTCTGTTTTTTCTTCTTCTTCCTTATTTTTTCTTTTTTTCTCCTTCTCCTCTTCCTTTTCTTCTGTTTCTCCATTTTCTTCTTATGTTTCTTCTTCTTCTTCTTCATCTTCTTCTTCTTCTTCTGTTCCTTCGTTTTCTTCTTATGTTTTTCTGTTTTCCTCCTCCTCTTTCTTCTGTTTCTCCTTTTTCTTCTTATGTTTCTTCTTCTTCTTCTTCATCATCTTCTTCTTCTTCTGTTCCTTCGTCTTCTCCTTATGTTTTTCTGTTTTCCTCCTCCTCCTCCTCCTCTTTCTTCTGTTTCTCCTTTTTTCTTCTTATGTTTCTTCTTCTTCTTCTTCATCATCATCTTCTTCTTCTTCTGTTCCTTCGTGTTCTTCTTATGTTTTTCTGTTTTCCTCCTCCTCCTCTTTCTTCTGTTTCTCCTTTTTCTTCTTATGTTTCTTCTTCTTCTTCTTCATCATCTTCTTCTTCTTCTTCTTCTTCTTCTTTTTGTTCTTTCTTTTCTTTTTTTTTTTTTTTCTTCTTTTTTTTTTTCTTTTTTTCTTCTTTTTCTTCTTATTTTTCTTCTTCTTCTTCTTCTGTTTCTTTCTTCTTCTAATTTCTTCTTCTAAATTTTTTTTTTTATTTCTTATGTCTATTCCCTCTTGTTCTGTTGTTTTTGTTTTTTTTTCTTGTTCTTTCTTCTTTTTATTATTTATTATTTTTTATTATTTTTTTTCTTCCTCCTCCACCTCGTCCTCCTTTTCTTTTACTTCTTCTTTATTTGTGGATCAGTTCATTTATATTGCCGTTCGTTTTTATTTTTCTTGCATTCTTGATTTTTTCTTCTTCAAACATTGACGGAAATTTCTTCGAAATTGTAAAATAACAAAAGCATTTTATCTGGGTTTGATTCTCATGATTTTAGAGCCAAGCTCAATCAAATTCCGACTCGTTCAAGAGGATTAAGCGCTTACAGTTCATATTGACGACAAGAGGATCAGCGTGAAACAACGAAATTGTGTTAATTGATGGTCGAACGGAGATGGCTAGAAAGAGAGAGAGAGAGAAAGTACTGAGACAAACATTACTTAGAGTTACGAAGAATAGGAAGTTGTGGAGAGTTACGATTCCCTAGCTGTTTTGCATGACACATAAAAGAAATAGTGACTTTCAAAGCTTTGTGACTCTATAGTCATATTCCCCCTGGTGAGAAACGAATTCAGTGAACTAGACAACGTTCCTAGCAATTGCACAGGGATAGGTGGCCAAATGATATGTATTTAGCATAGTCTGGAACAAGGCCATATAACTATGTTGCCAATAGAAGTACTGGACGAAACTTGCTTATTATTTTGCCAAGCATTAAGAGATAGGATAATGGCGTCAGCAATAAAAAAAAAAGAGGAGTATTTTCTTGCTATTTAATATCTTGTCTTCTACATAACAGTGAATGCTGAACCATCTGCTCAAAGACGAAGAAAAAAAGGCTTAAATTAATAGAAATGTGGCTCTACAGGAGGAGGCTGAAAAAACGCGTGAAGTGAAAGCGATATTGTTCTACAGACTAAGGCTAAAAGAACTAAGAAGAGAATATGTAAAGAACAAGAAACGTCGCAGGAAATTATGAAGTACAGAAAAAAAGTAGCTGTTAGCAATAAAAAAAAAAGAGACAGTTGAAATTCAAAAGCAGACGGTTATGTTTCGGGTTATATTAACAGTTCTTTGGAGCGAACAGCCAGTTCTACTCGAGTTTGGCTATTCTTCACTCCCTGACCATCAATCCGAGATTAAAGTGTAGCATCTGTTCCCCTAATCTCTAATAGTAAGAGTAATATTAATCCTTTAATTATAAAATAACATTCGGTATTCTTTGACCGAGCAGAAAATTCTAGTCGAATTATACTTTTCTTCATACCCTGGCCTTCCGGTTGGGATTAAAATGTCGGATCTGTTTTCCTTATTTCGAACGGTAAGCGTAATATTAGTCGTTTCATTATAAGGAAACCTTCGGTATTTTTTAATCGACCCTCCATGTCTACGGGTGTTCAGCTTTTTTTCACATCCTGGTTATTGGGTTTGGATTCAAGTGTTGTAGTATCTGTTCTATGGTAATATTGGCTGTTTACTTATAAGGAGTATTTATTCTTTGACCGAGACGCTAGTTCTAGTTGAGTTCGACTTTTCTAAACTTTCCCTTTTATATATATCTAGGATCAATATATTTATCTGCTTTTCATCTCTAATGGCAATAGTAATATTAACCGTTTCCGTTATAGAAAACTTATTAATTAATATAAAAACCAGGGAAATCGTTGGTTGAAATTTATAAAGTCTTTGTCTTCAAACAATTTTTCAAAAAAATCGATTTCCCATCTACACTCAGAGTTATTGCTGTTTCTGGGCGTTGAATCTGGTTAAAACATTATTTTTTTTTCTGAATTGGTTATGGAAAATCGACGTCTTGATTCTATCATTATTTTTCCTTCGAATTGTCTTTGATATCCATTTTAATTGTTGCTTCTGTTTAAATCATCAAGTGAGGTAGATGTTGTTATATGATACGGTTCTACGTTTGCGATCCTGTAGCGCCAGAGGATCAAAGAAGGATTGTCTCCGTTAAGACCTACAGGCTCCATTCGCTCGAAGCCACTTTTAATCATCGAACTGAGAAAACTGGCAGCTTAGATATTAGGTTGATGTTTCGGTTTGATGCCGACACTTGAGTTTGATCGTAGATCGCCAGTGAGCAAACAGAGGCGATCCCATTATTGAATTAAGTAGACGACTAACGATCGTTATATACTAGTCTATCCTCTATACTGTTCTTATCGCTATTTCTAGGCTATCCTCTACTACTATACGGACCGCTATTCTCTATTCTATTAACTATATTATTTCTCTATTCAGATCACTATACGGTGATTTCTATTCGAGGGACTATTATCGAGCAAGTATTATTAGTGTGAGTGATATTCGAAGGCGTCTGACACCAGTATTGTTCAATGACGTTACTATAGTTGTATCTACAATTACAAAGTCTCTACTACAACGAGCATTATGAAAGTGGCAACGAGTGTTCGTTGACATTACAAAAGTGGCAACCAAAGTTTGTTGGCATCACAAAATTATTTAATACCGAAATCTAAATATTTTGAACACAATCTTAGCTTCAACTAAATATATTTTAAGCGCAATTGTACGGCTTCAGCTACAGATAAAATGTAATGTTGGTAATTTTACTATAAGTATGTAATGTTGGTAATTTTTTATATATAAAAATGTATGATATATAAAGCTATTATGTTTACTATAAAAGTATATCGTTATATTTTAATAGGGTTTTGCTTTGGGGTGAATTTTCACTAACTGGGACGCTAACAGTTGCTACTACCTTAGGTCAGGTTGAACCTGGAAACAACATCATTTAGGACCTGGTTTCAAAATCGTTAAAACTCCCAATCTCCCGATCAGAGGCTTTGGTCCCGGACGTACTTTATCATCATACCCAGGACTAGAAATTTAATTATCTAGGTAGCGTGTAAACACATAACTGCCTGACACCGAAGTTCGACGTCGCATAAAATAACGGAAGATGCCTTACAGGAACTAAGCAAAGCATTAAGTTACATTTTATTTTTTTTTTTTTTTTTTTTTTTGTTTTTGTTTTTCTATCCTTTGTCCCTTTCGTCTGTGACGGACTAATTTATCTTGTGTCTGCCTGTCTGTCTGTTTTACCTTTCTTTACGGCCGCAGCCCACGCATCATTACGAAATTGTACGCCTTCAGCTACAGATAAAATGTAATTTTGGTAATTTTACTATAAGTATGTAATGTTGGTAATTTTTTATATATAAAAATGTATGGTATATAAAACTGGCATGTTTACTGTTGAAACTTGACTAATGCATGGAATAATAATGCAACACAAAATGTACTTAGAACAAAATGTATTGAAACAAGAAAGTGTACACAATATTTACCTATAGTCTTTTGTATATTCCTGGTAAGACCGTTCCTGGAGAATGTGTTGACTGAGTCGCAGTCGGGCAGAGTCTCTGGTTGAATCTCTTGATTCCTCCATCTCTTCCCGGTACCAACCATATTTATATGGTCGGTACTCCACTATGCAAATTAGGTGGGTCCTACCACAACATTTACTATAAAAGTATATATTTATATTTTAATAGTGTTTTGCTTTTGGGTGAAGTTTCACTAACTGGGACCCTAACAGCTGCTACTACCTCGGGTCAGGTCGGACCTGAAAACATCATCATTTAGGATCCGGTTCCAAACTCATTAAAACTCCCAATCTCCCGATCAGAGGCCTTGGTACCGGACGTACTCTATCATCATACCCAGGACTAGAAATTTAATTATCTAGGTAGCGTATAAATACATGACTGCCTATAATAGTAAAAAGAGACTTATTATCCTAGAATTAATACTGATCCAACAAAAACGATCATCTATAAAAAAAAAAAAAAAGAGAATCATATTATAAGAGCCCGTTTCCTCAAACATATATAAATGAAAAATTAAAATTAAAACGCATATATCACACATTGTCTACGTTACAACACATTTACCTACATTACAGCACTCAGCATATGTCTTTACCTAACCTGATGATGACTTTAGAAAGTCGAGAGCTTAGAACATATGTTTTCCAAAATGAAATTCGGAAAATTCTGACGGAATTTACTCCTTGCATGAGAAGCAACTTTCGTAATTTGAAAAAGTTAATCAGTAAAATTAATGTGTGCCTTAGCTAGCTAGCTAGCTAGCTAGCTAGATAGATAGATAGATAGATAGATATGAAAAGACTTAGATATGAACAGAGTTTAATAAATAGAGAGATAGAGAAATACGAGCAGAACTAGATAGATAGATAGATATGAAAAAACTTAGATATGAACAGGGTTAGATAAATAGAGATAGATATAAACATAACTAGATAGATAGATAGATAGATAGATAGATATGAAAAGACTTAGATATGAACAGAGTTTAATAAATAGAGAGATAGAGAAATATGAGCAGAGATAGATAGATAGATAGATATGAAAATACTTAGATATGAACAGAGTTAGATAGATAGAGATAGAGAGATATGAAAAGAACTAGATAGATAGATAGATAGATAGATAGATAGATAGATAGATAGATAGATAGATACGAAAAGACTTAGATATGAACAGAGTTAGATAAATAGAGATAGAGAGATATGAACAGAACTAGATAGATAGATAGATATGAAAAGACTTAGATATGAACAGAGTTAGATAGAGATAGAGAGATATGAACAGAACTAGATAGATAGATAAATAGATAGATAAGAAAAGACTTAGATATGAACAGAGTTAGATAAATAGAGAGATATAAACGGAACTAGATAGATAGATAGATACTTCTTGAAATGTATGTGTTCATTCGAATATATATGAATGTAAATCAGAGATTAAAGGTATTTTTGAAATTATGCGGTAAAAAAAAACAACAGGGAGGCACTGACGTGCGACACCAGGCGTAGTGCGCATGTGATGACGAGTAGCTAGTCGTGCACAGCGTTCCATCGATCAGTCGAATGGCAGGAAGCAACGAGGCTAGACGTATGGA